CTTAAATTCTTCTTCACAAAAGCATGTAATTTTAAGAATTTTAATATATTAAATATCTCAAACTAGTTTTCAATGAATTAGAATATATTGATTTACATGACATGTCTTCCAGCCAAGACTTCAGATTGCTAGCATGTGGAAGAATACTACATTTAAAAGAGATTATCAATATTAGTTGTATGTTATAATCACTTGGGGATTTCTCTAAAAATAATGATACCATAGTTCCTCTCTAGACCAACTACATAATTCCTGGAGGTGAAGCCCAGGTATCTGCATTTATTGCGGAGTGATGAGTAATTTTCATTAGAGTATGTCTTACAAGTATGCTGAAGAATTATACAGTGTGGGCTGGGAATTTAGCTCAGTGGTTCCGCCACCTGCCTCACAAGCACAAGGTCCTGAGTTTGATCCCTAGTACCAAAAAAAAAAAAAAAAAAAAGAATTATACAATGTGGGCAGCACTGAATGCTTTCCTGGCCCACAGTCTGCCTGTTCCTTCATAAAAGGTACTGTAAGGCCAGAACATTTCAATTCTCCTTTAATATGTACTGGGACTCCATTTTATCATTGAAATAAAGAAATGCTGTCCTTTCTCTAGTACAGTCTAACTGTTGAGTTTTACAAATGGCTGCACCTGTATTCTGAGTTCTAGTCTGCCTTCCTGGACTGTAGCATCAGCCACCACACACTCCAGCAGCGGGAAATCTCTTCATCTGCCCTTTCATTTCCTGCACCAAGGTGGTATTCACATTTTTGGCTCCTTTGTTGCTAGTAGTGTTGATTACTGCTCCTATTCAGAAACCATGGAAAACTCAAAACATTATACCAATCTACAAACCACATCTTTATTTCTATATCTTGGATGCTAGGAAAGAAAGGGAAGTACGTAGCTATAAAGGACAGTGAAATATTCAACTGTAATTTTATTAAAGCCTGGAAGATTCTAATACATAGCCAAGGGTTAAAACCTACTAATTTAGTATTTTTGAAGGGAGCATTTTTCGCTTTCTACTGTGAAAGCACCTCATGCTGACAAAGAAAATAACCAAGCTATCCCAGAACTATAAATACCACCCTTCAAGGTTTTTTGGTTTTTATTTTGTTTTGCTTTTAATACATTCCAGACTAGCAGAGTGGAATGACTTTGTTTCCTTTAGAAAATATGCATCTATCTCCCAAATATGTAGGAAATAAAAGTGGATGATTTCATCAGCTGTTTAGTCAAGATAAAACACATTCCCTGCGTTAGGCAGCTTATCTCAAAATTTTACTGAGAACAATCTGAAGGTAGTGACCTAAAACACTAATAAAGTCAGACAGCAGAGTACTCTAATTGTACCAGAAAAACAACAGAATAGTTCAGACTCATTGAAAAGAGCAGCTCCATTAATGTTAGGATGCTGATAAGCCCTAGCAATGTAGACTTTAGACAATTATCTAATAAAAAGCAATCTGACTGTAAATAACAGTAAGCAGACCTGATCCTTGAATAGAGAAGCATTTTATATCGAATAGTTAGTAACAACATCACTAATGCAATATCATCTACATCTGGGGGCAAAAAGATAAATCTCTGTTAGAACAGTCATTCCTGGCATCCTTTCTAGTTATACCTGTTGAAGAAGCAGAGACTAAATGTTAATGGTCAGGCCTGTTCCTGTGATGCAATGGATAAGGATAAATGCCCTAGGAATAAAGGACATCCCAGTTCTGTATCAGACCGAACAGCCAGAAATTCCACTATAATAGCAAAACCCAAGGAGTTGCCTCATAATTATGATGACTCTAGGGGAATATCCTTCTGGATGTGTAGTATTCATAAAAGCGTTCAGACAGTAACTCTGTATGTGTGTCTCTATTACTGAGAAGAATTCCTTCTGCAATATTTTCTTCTAAGGTTTTTGCCAAACCTGTTGAAAGGACTATCAATTCTTCAGAATTACCATGACACCATTGTTAATTGCATGAGACTATTTCAAGGAAAAGATTCTTTTCGACTCCTTGTTACAAGAGAATTTTCAATCTTTCTACAGGAAGTCATCAACAGGGTCCCCAAGACTTACATGAAGAGCTAAAAGCTCATAAAGAGCCAGAGGTCAGAGAATTGTCATTCCAACTGGACTCAGTTATTGCACCAATTTAATTAAACCTAGAAATGTATTTTTCTTCAAATAGATTAGCTATATGAGCTTGATTATCTAATCATCCAAGTACCTCCAAATGATCTCTCTGACTCTAAAATTCTGCATGCAATGCAAAGCCTAACAGTAAATGGTCGACACAAAAGAGAATATTATACACGGAACAGGAATAATATGGAAAAGGAATATCCCTTCCAGTTGTCTGTATTACATTACTTCTGCTGGTGGCAGATGCACTGTGGGGCAGGTGGTAATAGGAAGAGGTAGGAATCTACATTTTACTTTACTTTCATTTAACAAGAGTCACTGAGAACCCTACTGAAATGATGCTGAAGAGGCTACATGGTCAGTCCAAAGGCAATTTAAAAAATGTATACAACTCAAACTGTCCAAGAATTGATGAACAGATAAACAAAACATGGTGTATTCATCCACATTATACAGCCCAAACCAGGAATGAAGTACTGATACATACTACAACACAGATGAACCTTGAAAACATGATGCTGGGTGAAAGAAGCCAGATACAAAAGGCCATATAATTCTTGAGAGCATTTATATTAAATTTCCATGATAGGCAAATTCATAGAGACAGAAAGTAGATTAGTGGTTGCCAGGGGATGGCAGAAGTTGAGAAATAGAAAGTGACTGCTAACAGGCACAGGGATTCTTTTGAGAATGATGAAAATATTCTGGAATTAAGAGGTATTGGTTGCACAGGTTTTGATTACCCTAAAAACCACTGAACTATACACTTTCAAATGGTAACTTCTATTTATGTGAATTATATATCAATTTGCGAAAAAGACATTCCCTAGTTAAGTATTGCTACTGCCCCTTAAATCTCTCAATGCCCAACAAAGGCCCAGCTTTCTAGGATGCCCAGTATGCTATCCTTCAATCTTGTCCTACTTATGAGATCAAGAGGAAGTGATCTTTGAGGAAGATGTAAGTGCTCACACTGTTTCTGTTTCATGACATATAAAATCAGAACTTAGAGTGTAATCTTTGGTCACTTAGGTTAAGGTGACCTATAATGTTCCTACTGAGACCAAAGCAAGTTGTTCAGTCATCCTGGAGCAGAGATGCCAATGTCACGATTTTACTGTGTAAAGGGCAACTCTTGCTGAGCTATTTTTTATCTACTAGATGGTGGACTCCAGAATTCAATTAGTTCTGACTATTTGGATAGCACATTTTTCAAGATGAACTATTAATTCTTATTAAGATTCATTCATCTTATAATACAGAAACTGTGCTTAAACATAAAATGACAGATGGTGTTAAAGAACTAGTAGTTGATCATTTAAAATAATTAGTTCTGATTTTAAAAAGTCTCCTTGACATCTGTTTTAGAAGACAGGATCTTGCTACCAGCCAGGCAGTTCAAGCTGGTCTTGAACTCACAGCAACACTCCTGCCCCAGTCTTCCAAGTCCTGGGATTACAGGCATGCACCACTATGCCCTGATGACATCTTTTTAATAACACCATTAACTATGTCATTAATTACATACAATGCAGAAATCCTTTGGTACACAAAATGTAACTTTCACAATTCTGGAAGAACAATAACTACTAATTTACTTAATCTGCCACTGTTGGCTGTAAATTGTTTTCTTTTTTTTTTGGTACTGGGGATCAAACTCGGGACCTTTGCACTCGCACAGCAGGTGCCAGAACCACTGAGCTAAATCCCCGGCCCTGTAAATTGTTTTCTTAAACTCACTTGCAGTTACTAGGTTGGTCTCTGTCTGATTTACTGTGAGTTGCTTTTAAAAGGAATAAAAGGAAACCATGGTAAGGATGACCTTTCAGTGGGTATAACCTGTAGGCCTCACGCAACAAACATGGAAGACTGGCTATTAGCTCAAATGCCACACTTCTCAAAACAGGATTCCTGTATTCAGACATAAATAATTACAAATCCAAAATAAATGACTACCATTTAGGCCACTTAAGATTATGCATGGTAGGAGAAACAAAATATTCAGGTATTACATATCATAAAAAGTAAATTATAACTGAACTTGTCATTTATACATTTGTGGAATACCCATTAACATATAATACAGCCATAAGAACACAGTGCCATCTACATTGTATGCCTCTAAAATGGTATATTATTCAAATCAGAAAATTAAGTAGGATAAATCACCTTGATGGTAATCCTAGTTCAACCCTAAAAGCAGCAAATGTAAAATCCTCAAATAATTCAAGACTCAATTTTAGACAATATTTTACTTTTTCCAAAATTACTAATGAAAATCAAAACTGACACACCAGAATTTCCATTCTTCCTTATGTATTATCATTTGGGATCATTACAATGGAAGAGTAAATAGAGAAACCTAGAAAATACACAAACTAACTACACAATACTATATAATCATACTGTATAAGCATATACTATCAAAAGAAAAACACAACTCAGTGCACCTCAGGAGATATGCTTCCCTATGAAAGGCTCCTACAACACTTCCAAGTGTAATTACTCAAAACAGCCAAGAACCTCTACATTTTCTAAGAAAAATAAAAACCAACCCAATGTTCTATATTGTAATTTTAAAATGTATCATCTTCTTCAATATTTTTCTAAGGTAGGCATCTGAGCAGTTAAGCAGGTACTTCTAACAACTCAAGGGCTTTAATCCATTATAATCTAATTACTGGAAAAACCCAATTCTTTGAAAAAAAATAATTATACTGTTAAGGAGAAGGTAGGTAAGTTTAGCTGTCACTAAATGGTAAAATTTATGGACTTCTTTTATTTGTTTCTCTGAAAAAATCTCTTTCTCTTACACACACACACACACACACACACACACACACACACACTGTTATATAGACCATATACCTCAGTTGCTTCAAGAACTCCACATCAGAACTGCCACTGATAAGTTTGATGAACTCTTCATAAGAAGGGGCATAGGTGTAGGCTCTCTTGTGTTGCTCATTCATCTGTTCTCTGTACTCCAACTGGGAAAGCAGCATTTGGTTAATGTAATCTGGATTACTCAGCAACTCTACTACTGTCTTCAAGACTGTGGGAAGGAGAAGAAAGCACCACTGAAAAGAAATTCCTCAGGGAATTATTTTTCTATCACATAATTGAAACTACATCTGTAAAACATTTTTTGACTAGCCAAATGGGGGGAATTATAAATTATTCAAATATTTTAAAATGTGCACAAATACATGTATATGTGAGTGTGAATAAACACACACAAGGTTGCCTATACCTCTGGATAGGTTACTATACATGGTTACAGTCAAGTGGTCATTTTAATAAATGAGAGAAATGTAAAGGAGTAATGAAAATAAGTCATTTGGAACCCAAGTTGCCAACAAAGCTATCACAATTAAGTACACTGATTTTTTTTTTTACTTCTTTTATAAGGCTCAATATGTTTTTGAAATATTCAAAAAATGTAATAGCCAAAAGATGAAAGTCAACATTCTCCCATCTGGTCAAATCAGAACTCAGAGAGAAAGTTGTTAAAAGGTCAATAACACTATTATAAATCCATTCTATAACTTTTGATTAAAAAGTTCCCCTTTTCTTTGTGGTTGGTTATATCAGCTAATGACCACAGCTCGTTAATCCTGGGATGAATAGGATATTGTATCAGTAACTCTCTTATTTGAGATTCTGAGCTAGAAAAAATTTCTCTTGGTTCATATTTTCTTCTATTTTTCTTATCCAGGTTGAAGCATTTCCCTGGATTTAGTTTACTTTTTCTAGTATTCACATAATGTTGTGATGTGTTATAGTTTTCATTTATTCCAAGGTCACAAAATTATGTATAGTACTATCATTGAATTTTACTGTGAAGATACTTTAATTTTACAGTACATGCAAGTATATATTATCATAAATGCATATATTACTGGCCTAGATAACTCAAAAGCTATCCCACATGAATGTTTCCTGGTGGAAAGCACATCTGGATTATGCATTGGGCAATATGTTATTTAAAAAATTTAAGTT